AGTTAATATGACAGTGGTTGACATATTTTAGCATTTATAAGAGAGTCAATTGCTGAAGTCCAGACAGTGTGAACAGCTGCTTCTGTTAGCTAGCTACTTAGTTTTGAAAAATTAGAAGTGACTGTTTCATTATTTTTCTGGAATATTATCACAGTTGTTAACCTTTGTTCACATTTAGGTGGCACTTAAGATGGCGAAGTCCAAGCAGTGAATTCATCTGCTAATGTTAGCTGTTAGCCACTTGCTAATTTGAAGGTTTAAACATTTATGATTCGACTTTTAAAGTCATTTACTGTGTTTTGTCAATACTGCAGTAGTTAAACTATTTTTACCCATATATGAGAGTTAAGAATGTTCAGTCCAGGCAATGTGGTTACTTATGAATGTTCGCTGATAGCCATTTGCTAGTTAGCCTCCCCGTGATGTGTTAAAAATGACATGTAAAACATGATTCTTAATGTTTAAAGAGTGTTTTATGTGTTGTTTACATATTAATATTACAGTAGTTAACCATTTTTTTTCACTTACACAATATTTTACACATCACGTCATGTGATTGCCGACCCAAATTACTGACTGTCTAGCTATGAGGCATGACAGATGTCAAAGGTGGAGTGTTTTATATTACAAAAAGGCCAAGTTCTTATTAGATGAGGTAAAATGTGACTTCCATGACAGTTAAGATGGTGATAATGAGGCCTTTGTGACTATCATCACAGAGACTTAAAAAGTTCTTGAAAACAATGCGGCCCATTGTTTTTAGAGCACTTGATTACCCGCCCCCCCCAAAAAAAAATCAACTCCTTGCTGGAGTAAAAATAACTCATGCATGTCACAGGACAAAGACAACACACAGTGTGTGCGTGCATATGTGTGTGTGTTTCTGCACCACAACTTTTGCATTGTAGTAGGACAACTATGTGTTACTCCTGATGCAATACTGTACTAGTTGACAGTTGTGCGCTACGAGTATTTCCGTACTAGTAAAGCAATAGGGGTTGACAAGTGGACAACTTCTGCGTCCTATTACAATTTTAAGCACATGATTTTAGTGTGGCAACGCTACTAGCGGGAATGTTGGTGCTACTAGTAGGGTCCATCAGGCTACTAGTCAACAACTTGGGCTTATTAGTGTTACTACAGTAGTTTACTGGTAAGGTTTAGTTATGTGCTGATACTTTAGGTCAAAAGTGGTAATAGTAGAGGAAAAACATGACGCAAAAGAATTGTTCTGCTATTGCGCCATAACCATTCTACTAATGTGCTGAATTGTCTTACTAGTGAGAACAAAGAGTACATGGACCTTAAGCTGGATCTCATATTGGTGCTACTAGTATAGCCCACGAGGCTACAAGTGGGTGACACAGGCCTACTAGTTGGGCCTAGTAGTGTTATTACTATGGCACAATAGTTTACTAGTAAGATTTACTTGCATAGAAGTACAGTAGGCTAAAAGTAACACTGGCAGTGGAAAAACATAAGACAGTCAATCCAGTATTCCATACGAGTCTACTGTGTTGAATTGTCTCTATCCAGAACCCGTGAAATCCATCCTATGGTGCACGTACTGTACTAGTATGCTCTTTGTCCTCACAAGTAGGACAACTGTGGCATACAAAATTCTACACGTTAACATCTAACGCTAAAGCTATTAGTACGATTAATGTGCAGATGTCCACTACAGCAGAGTTTTGTCTCAATAGTAACATGTAGTTGTTTTACTTATTTACCACAGTTGCCCTGCTCGTGTTTAGAAAACTCATACAGTTGCTAGTAGTGGAAAACAATGCTACTAGTAAGTAATACAGCCGTTCTACTAGCGCGCTGAACTGTCTTACAAGTTAGGACAAAGAGCGTACTAGGACGTGAACCTGAAGCGATTTATCAAATGCGCAGTCGTGTGTGTGTGTGTGTGTGTGTGTGTCACGCACACACACACTGATTGTGACCACACATCGATGCAATGCATGCTTTAACACATGCAGCGACAGGTTGTTCATGCATGCAACACCACGCATACTCACACGTATACACATACACACACACACACACACAGATACACACTGGAACTAATAACAGTTAATCATGACCCTTTGAGAACACCAAGACAGAAAGGCTTTGAAAAAGCTGCCGTATTACTCTGCACAGAAGAAGCCAAAACACACAACTTGTAAGAATGTTTTCACTCTCTTAAAATGACGAAATCCTGCAAGAGTACACGTACTACACGTACATATATACACGTTCTCACGATTGGGTGTCATGACTACCTGGCCAGCAGAGGCTCGTCTTCTCCTCGATTTAGGACATCTTTCTTGGGGGGGCAGGATAGGTGAGAAGACGGGAGGAAGCTAGAAAAAGTTCCAAGGCAGCCAGCCTGTCTCGCGAGTGGAGCGGAGAGAGACTGCGAGCAGCTGAAAACTTGGAGCGGCTCTTTGCTTTTAGATGGGCGACCGAAAAAATGTCCGAGAAGGGAGATCGGTGAGATGAGTCGCTGCTGGTTAATAAACGAAATGCTTTTAAAACACTAAATAAACACCCTGTATCATCAAACACTTCTAACAGAGTAAACCTAAACATGGACTTTATATTTTATGGCAACGAACGATTTAAGGATGGCGTGACCAAAAGTTAGTCACCCCCGCCGAGGTGGTACGCTCCATTGTGGTCCTCCCTCCGGATTTACATTACCCGTCTGGCACTCCGCGCCCTTTGCTACTCCATCAAGGCAGATTCTTTTACAAGTTTACTTTCGCACTATCTGCGGTCAAATTTAACGGTTATTTCCAAATCCCCTTTACGATTTCAAGAAACATTCGCTTGGAATTATGCGAATTACATTTGACTTCTGGCGGTTTTAGATACCCCAACTAAATGTTATTTTTGATATGACGCCGTACTTTATGCCCATAACGTCCATGATTGCATCATAGATAGATATGCACACACTGTATATACAAATTTGATTACTTGTTGTCTGACTGTATCTGACATGCATCGCCTTAGCATTTAGCACTGACATACAGATAGTCATGCAAAGAAACTGACCTGTGACCTCCGGATCCACACAGCGACAACCTGAACTGGCGGTCACAGATAGTTTAATGATGTTCTGCTGAAATGTTGTTCCAGATGACACTGGTGTTGATGCCTTGTTTAGTCCTAGTTTGGCAAAACTAGCGTGAACCAAAGGAGCCACAGCTGACATGGGCTCCCACAGGTGAATTCATGAATGCTCAATATGCATGCAGCTGTTCACTGTCGACATATTTACACCATACCCATTGTGATGATTATTGGACTAGTGCTGTGTCCACTTAAGCATAAAAAAGTACCCATAATTTCTCAATCAACACATCAGTTTAACGGCCTTTTTAAAAGTGTCTGACTGGAGGTCATCAGGTTCAAAAATTTATTTTGCTTAAGCTACTGCACCTCCCATGAAGTCCTTCTGCATCCCTCAGGGGAAGTGCACTTCGCACTTCATGCATACATGACTTTGTGTGTTCTTTATCATTCGTTTCTATGTACAAGCTATGGAAATGTTATAGCCGTACTTGGCTTATTTAGATAAGTTAACGACCAGTACCTCTCCCGCCTTCTGCTGTGGAAATTTTGTCCCGCAACATGTTGGGAATCATTCAAAAACTCCTAGCAGAGCACCTTTAAACGTGTTTCCGAAAGAAAAAAATAAAAAGACATAAATATTTGCAGTATCACACTTGAGATGTTAAAATGAAGGCGTAGTATTCATGCACCGAATTCACAAACTTATAGGCTAATATTACGAGCCACATAAAAGTGGTCATTATGAAAGCCAGTGCCAGAAAGTGCTGACTTGTGGGCTTGTGTGCAGTGCCAAACAGCATTTTCTTATAACGTACATTACTAATAGTTGCATGAGTGAGAACGACAGTATAATTTGACACTGGCAGTGGTAAAACATAATCTGTGATTGGAAATAGTGAACAGTTTTTTTTAAACTGTAAAAGGAGGATTTGATTGATCTTGAGGTTACCTTTTTCATGGGAAGGTTTCTGTGAATATTTCTTTATATGTATCGGAGTAGGATACTGAGAACCTTGTAAAATATTTATATATATTTTGCAAATCTATCTGCCAGGTATTCTTGTAAAACTAGTATGTGTTTACTGAACGGCGTGTTTTCGGGTTCGGCTGTCTCCCATCGGTCTACTGGCCCGGTTTCCAATCAGGCGCCCAGAGTGGGACAGTAATTTATGAGCAACGTGACAGACAAGCCTTGTGGCCTCTTGTTTATTCATTATGTCAGCAGCTCTTCATCACGACTCTTTGGAGCCCTGATTAGTTCCTTCGCCGGAGAGTCCTTTTTCCTTTTGGACTGGACAGATGGTTGCAGTTAACCACCTTAACACAGAACAATGTTATCCAAACTTGTGGGTCAGAACTAGACGAAGATCCTGTTGTAAAAACAGGTTTTTGCAGATGTTTTGGGGGACTGGCGTGAGCATTCAAATCTGGGCTCACGCACACTGTGCTGGTTTGAAGTGGTGAGCGGTGTTGTATTATGACAAGATGGAAAAGGGGGATGATTTTGATTCATTTTTGAGTTTTTTGAGTGACCTCAACTCAACTGCTGAAGAGTTTTTTTGCTCGATGAATGTTTAACTTAATTATACTTTCCGTGGGGGCGGGGGGATTCGTTTTGAAACAAGACTTCAGCATATGTAGTACTTACTCCTGCCCAAAAGTGGTAGCGCCACCTCCTGGCCTGGCATGTTATCTCAGTAATTTTTAACCTTGTTTGTAGGTAAAACTATTCCAAAATCAAGTTTTATTTGCACTCCCTGAAAACTTTCATGTACTGTGCACAACAAAATCATGACTACTCTTGAGCGGCACGCTTGCAAGAGATGCCCCGCAAACCAAAGGCCCAAACAGCAAAAAAAAAAAAATCCCCAAACCCGAATTCCTGTTAAAAATAAATAGACTTACAAAACCAGCTGTATGCAAAAAGATGCGATTTTCTTCTTGAGGTTATTGTAACAGGAAACACATTTTGTCCTGCGGGTCAGTCGCAGTCAAATCAGAGTTTGGCTTCACGATACCCCCACAAATACCAACAGATGAGAAATTGAGCAACGAAAGCCAGGGTGCGTGTTTGCGCGTGGGCTACTTTGACAAGTGAAAAGCATGACATGGGAATCTTTCTCTTGATTCCAAACCAGCATCTCTTCAGCGGGCCAAGTGCTCATCAGCGGTAAGAGGTTCCATGTGAAAACATTTGGACATGATCAAAACAATCGTCATCGGACGTGAGCGTGATTCGGCGCCTATTTTTATGAACAATGGTGACCAAACGAGTGGCTTGAGGACTTGGGGTACATGTTTTAGGAATGAGTTTTACTGTGCATGATATTGGGGGGGAAAAAAAGACATGGGGATTTTTCTCAACCTGGCGATATGAAAATAATAAGGATACAGTAGAACACACTCTTTCACGCTCTGATTTCTTGTCTGGATGGTTTATTTTAGCTTCAGAAGAAAAGAAACTATGCTCAATGAAGTCATTTGTGTCAAGTATTGAGCCCACACTTCAAGTTAAAATCATTTTTCTTCATGCCCATTCCTGGCACAATTCTGTTGCTTTTCATCAATCTGTTATTGTTATGTATTTTAACATATTATGCCTTCTATATTGGAGCGCATTATTTAGCACGACACATTTTGTGAACAACAAAACAGACAGAACAGACTTTGAAGGCGAGATACCCGCAAGAGTAAACATCACTTTTAGGGGATGTATTCAAGTACAAATGGGGAACTGGGTGCCAATTTGGCTTTGAAGTCAGTCACTGTTTTGGACATTGAGGGCACACGCAAAAGGAAATCAGTAGCAGGCCGGAAAGTAGCCGTGCTGCATTATGAAGCATCATGTAGTGTCATTTCCCATTTTTTTTAATGTAATGAAAGCAAACTAAACCAGAAAGTGTTTCTTCCTATTCGATGAAAAGCATAATAAAGAGGGTCCTTTAAGAAATAAAAAAAATGCACATATACATACAAAAGCAGTGTCCAAAAACCACTGTCGCTTGTGTCACCGTATTCGTTTGAATATCAATGCAGTCACGCTGTTTCCCTTCTTGCCTCCAAACTGGAAAGTGGGCGTGGGTAACTCCTGTACAAATTCAAATCCTGTAGGGCGTCAAAGAGGGTAAAATGTAATTAACCACACAAACAGAAATACAAAGGCCTCAGACAAACATCCCGGGATCTTGAATATTTAAAACACGAGAGATGACCTGCAGGCACGCCCGTGCAACTCCACTGACAAAAAGGTGACAGCAAACTGGCCACTTGCCAAAACACAAACTTCAGACAGTTGACGCCAGGAGCTTGACGGTCCCACTTGAGGACCTGTGTGTTTACCGAGGTATGTCGTACAACAAAAAGGGCCTGAATGTAAATATTCCAATGCCTACAGCCATACGTTTTATTGCCAAAAGTGAAATGAACTTCTTGGGTGTGTAAAGGTTTGCTGTGTTTTACTTGGACATACAACACAGAAACGCTTGTTCTAGGAATTAAAAAAAAAAAAAACAAACAAAAAAACCTGCAACGTATGCAGTAGAGGACAGCACCGTTTGTGCGGTTACGCTACCTAGAGGTCAAGTTGGTGAATGACATTGATTTGATTTTTTTTTTGTTTTGTTTTTTTTTAGCAAGTAGACAAGGTTATTGCAGTTAAAAGCAAGCTAGCAAAATTTCGAAAACTAAAATTGAAAAAACATTTTCATTTATGACTTTAAAAAAAATGCTTTTAGGGAAAAAAAATCTAACTGAAACTACATCTTACGTTTAACAACAAAATATGAATGACATGCATTTTAATACAAAGTCGCCAGCTCCATGACTCGCGACGCTAATGAGGGGACATGCGTGACAGAAAATGGACGGATGGCATTTTTGCCTCACCTTCTTTGAATCGCTCAAGCAGCTGCTCTTTTGTCCAGTTGCAGGACGTAATCGAGAAGAGGCCTTGATCCTTCAGCGAGGCTTTTAAAGCTTGCACGTAAAGTCTTTTCACCCCGCCAGTATTGTCAGGATTCAGGCTGATGGCGTCAAAAGTCCCTTTGTCTACGCACAGGTCGTAACCCTCGAGTCCACCGTGGCAGAAGTCCAGCTCCTTAAAAAAAAAAAAAAAAGAGAGAAAAAGTTGACACATGGACTTGGTCCCAAACATGTTGACACTGACTCAAATATGAGCGTGACAAAGTAAAACTGAGCAGAAGGACCATGAGAATACAGCTGATCAAGCAAATAGATGAGGTACACACACACACACACACACACACACACACACACACACACACACACACACACACAAATAAAGTGCCGAAAAATAAAACAAGGTGATTTTAAGTTTTATTATTAGGAGGGGAAAAAGTTGTAATTTTACAAGAATAAAGTTTTAGTATTGAGATTGTAATCCAGAAATTTACAAGACGATGTTGGAAATTGTGCAAATAAAATGGTAATGATAGGAGAAAAAAAAACAATTAATTTTGCAAGAAAATGCTCATTTTACTTTTGTAATTTTCCTAGAATACAGTTGTAATAATCACAAGAGAAAACCATTAGTCTGGAAAACTGTACTACTGCAACATTAATGTTCTCGTTTTGCCGAAATAAAGTAATGCGACAAGACTAAATTTACAACATAATGAAAATGAAGTTGTAATTCCACAATTACACAAAGACGAATAAAGTTGTCGCCATACAAGAAAGTCTACAATGTAGATTTCTCTCTCTCAGCCTCCCGCCCTACCCCGCTAATGTCAATATTGACATCAACGGCAATCTTTCTGTCCAAAGAACGCACACACAGTCACTGGTGTGCCAAGTACTAAACATATACGCAAGGTTGTTGCATATACACACACAAGACACACCCAGTGGGACCACCATTACTGAGCAGATGTACTTTCATTTCTTTGAGGTTTGGAGGTGGTCAAATGTGAATGGTGGGCAAACCTCCATCACTTTCAGGGCCATTTTCAAGCAGGCCACATGTAAACAGCAAGTTTTCCTCGGACCGGCCGTTAAGTCCACTACGGAACCTGGGATGGACCACACGTACTTCATATCCATTCATTTTCTGTCGTGCTTGGGGTATCGCCTGGACTGGTTTTGTTTGGGGCACTTGGAAGTGGATATGCCATGAACTGTACATAAAATGTTGTGTATGTGGATAAGATAAAAAAGCCACCTTAACATCGACATGTGTCAAGCCCTCTGCCTGGAGAACACTTTTTGCCAGTTCCACGGAGGCCGGGGAATAATCGATTCCCGTTAAATTCTTGTATCCGTGTTTCGCCTTGTGACAAAAGATAAAACACATTGATATGGAATGTCAATTCAAAATTCAAATGACACAATGAATATTTTGGTTACAATGTGTTATTTCAGAGATTATAATGCCTTTTGCATCGACATTCTCAGAGAGACTTGTTTGATTTATTTTCATATTAAATTGTCCCGTTTCCCTCCACCCTTACCATCTCAACTAAAAAGGCTCCATTTCCTGTACCAATGTCCAAAATGGCAGCGTCTTCCGGAATTTTAGCATTGTCCATCCATCTTAGCACACGGTTCATGCTTTCCTCACCAAACCTCATGAGAAAAATAAAAGCAACATTAATTAGGCGCAGTGACAAAAAATATTGTCTTCGGCGTGAAGTGACATATTACACAACAAAATGTGTTGCCTAATGCTGATGGAGTCATTATTTTGAATAAAGTTGGATGGAAAAAACATGTATATTTTTTTAATCCCCTGCAAAAAATCAAAATAAAAAAACGACCTACTCAGTTGTAAGTCTTCGTGTGTTCTGTATGTCTGTATTACACTGCTCCCGGGTGGCCAAGGTGAGCACACCAGCACCACAATCTCAATGGACATTGAAAAGCAGGAAATCATGAAGCAAAACTCTATTTACATAACATTTCATTATGGAATTCGTGTGTTTTTATAAACTGCAATGTTCTATACTGCTTTAGTGTATATTTTGTTTTAAATAATAATAAAAGTAATTTTAATAGCTATTTGTACAAAAAAAAGAAAATAGTTACCATATCTCACCAACGTCCCCAATGTCTTTGAATGTTTCCAACTCTTTTTGGTATGCATCTTCCCAACTGCCGAATCAAAATTGACATTATTATAATTTAAAAAAAAACTATCACAGCACCTCTAAACAAATGGGGGCATCCCATTGTGAGTTAAACAATGTCATTTAATACAAACAATAATTCCACAGTTTGGGTTTAACGCTAGTTTATTAGCTACTACTACCAGTGGCTGCAGAAACAACATATAATAAATACCTCATAATAATTTTTAATCACTTCATTATATGCTCAAATTGCTTACTATTCCTTCGTTCCTAACTGTGAAGTTTCAAAGTCATTATCCGAGTCGCTGTCCTGTTCCGAGTCGCAACCACGCGTGCTTCTGACGGCGGCTTCCATGTTGTTTGCTAAACAGCGAAAGAAGACGACTACATCTCCCATGAGGCAATGCGCCTCTTGCAGCGCCCTTTCAACCGCAGGGGGCAGTGGGATTGATAGGGATGTTTCCATCATGGCGGCATCCATTTCAGGTTATACTTTTAGTTCTGTGTGTTACCACAGCGCCAATAGCAACTCGGATCATGTGAGTAGGCCGCGTCGCGTTGCCAAAAGCGAGGGGAAGCGTTGCCTCTCCGGCGTCGTTCATCGGCGCCATTAGTTTGTGTTGCTTACCCGCTGTCGTGATCTGTTGCTCGGCTAGCTTGTGATGGTGTCGTCTATTTACCGGCAGATCTACTCATTACGGTTTCTGGAGTTGTATACCAAATTGTCGAGCTGGTGTTTTTACGGATACACATTAATGAAACGTCTCATCATAATTCTAAGTTACAGTTGCTCATCGGTGTTAGTTTACAAGAGGAAGTGTTCGGGGAGAAGTGTTTGAGTTCCAGGAAATACTCAGCTGTTAGCTCCCCCAATGGCTAGCAATTGTAGCGGTTGAGTTTGTGGCTTCTGAAGGCTTAATCTATTTGTCACCAATTGAAATATGAATGAATAAATGGTATTAAAGCGTTGCCTCCATTTTAATTCACCTCGTTTCCGCGTTGACTGACAGGTGATGCTTGTCAGTCAACTTGAGTCCTCTTATGCTCACAGGTCTTCTACTCTTAACCTCTTTCGATTTGTGTGCATGTTTTCATGCCTATGCAATCATTTAATCACGCGATCGTTTAAACACACAAGGAGCAGCACCGCACACAATTGGAGCATACCACAATACTGACAGATATACATTCTCTCTTCCATTCTCGATTACTGGAGTTTAGCTGGGGGGACCTTGGCGTTTTCTTCCAGTAGAGCTCAGTGCTGCCCTGGCATGTTGTGAAACAATTCAGTACAGCACTGGAGGGACAAAACTCGAAATTCGGACTAGTGGAAGTATATATTTAAAAAAAAAAAAACACTATGACCCAAAAGAGTAAACTTTGAACACAGTATGTGTGAGGTTTTTTTCTGTTTAACTGAGACAAAAATGAAGATATGTGCTGTGGAAAATGCATGGATTGATACTGCAAATGCCTGTCGGAGTATACAGTACAGTATAGGAAATCAATTATTAGTCACAAAAAAGCTAACACATGCTCCACCTTCCAAAGATATATGATTACTTACATGTTGTTTGTCTGCATTCCGTTTACTCTTGATCAACAGAGTCGAACAAATCCCACACTGCCGCTTTCTTTCAAAGGTTGGAATGTGTATTTTACATTGCGGGTGTGTTGTATTTGAAATATAGGCAACAAATCCTGTGCGTGCATTTGATTTCCCCTCATAAAGGTGTCCACTGTTCCGGTATCTGCTCAATGGCCTGATAGTCTGGAAACTATTCGCTGTACAATTTCGGAGGATACCAGCAAATCCTTACATTGCAAATGCTTTGATTTGCGGGTATTCAGCAATCTTGTTATATCACTTTTGTGTTTGTACAGGAGGGCTTCCTATTAGGAGAAGTAAGGCAAGAGGAGACGATCAGCATCAGTGACGCGCAGATAAGCAGCGTGGAGCTCATCCAGGTTGTAGGTAAAGGCTGTCTATCTGTCTACTTGCCTGTCCGTCTACCCACCTGCCTGTCTACCACCCTTGCTTATCTTTCCATTAGATTTAGGCATAGTGTAATTGCAAACGCCTGTCTCTGTTTCCAACAGAAATCCATAATCATGACCCCTGTGCACGGTTGTTTAGGTAAGCTTTGCAAGATTTTTTTCCCTCTCTGCACTTTTTTTATTGACAGTTACAATACGACTGTTCATGATGCACACACAGGTACATCTCAGTTCAAAAAGTGAAACTCGTTTTATGTAACGTCGTTCAACACATGGAGAAATGTTTCACTTTTTGAATTGAATTGCCGAAAGGAATGAAGTGTCCCACTTATATTGTAATTTATTGGGATGCACCCGTATAACATCTCTTTGCTAAGACTGGAAGGTATGGTAAAGAAAAGGAAAATTCCATTTGTAAATCATAATAGATGATCAAACCGTCATTAGTATTTATGACAGTTTGATAATAATGTATCATTATGTTAAAAATGCTGACTAAAGCAGAACATATATTGATGCCTTTGACCTCGTGATCTCTTGATTTGTTGACAATAATTCATGCATTCAGTATTTAAATGAGTTGATCACTCAGGGCCTTCATACCCATTTTAGGACAGCAGATGGCTCCATCTTACAAGATTGCAGTGCCAGCAAACAGGATTGTGACATCTTTTTCTTTCCCCCCCTGTCACCAGCTTTTATGACTATGCGGGCAAAGTCAACGAAGAACATCTCAGCAGTCTTCTAAAAGATAGGCGAAAAGTGAGTGACAACGTCGAGTTTGCCATCTGTCACCTGAACAAATCCACTCCTTAGATATCGAGCACCGATCTATTCAAACTCAAGGCATTTTATTTCGCTCGTTCCTCGCCCAGCATGTGATTGGCTGGTATCGGTTTCGGCGGAACACGCAGCAGCAGATGTCCTTCAGGGAGCAGGTCGTCCACAAGCAGCTGACGCAGCTGCTCGGCGTGCCCGACCTCGTCTTCCTCCTCTTCAGCTTCATTTCCACGGCCAACAGCTCCACGCACGCGCTGGAGTACGTGCTCTTCCGACCCAACCGCAGGTATTGATTGAGCGGCTGGATGAGCTACGCTTATCATCATGCCTCCATTTTTGTTGAGGACCTTATTCGTACAAGAACTTCAGTGGGCTCCCGGAATTTAAATATCCATCCATACATCAATTTTCGGAACCGCTTTATCCTCACAAGAGTCGCGGGGCTTGCTGGAGCCTTTCCCAGCCGTCTTCGGGCAATAGGTGGGGGACACCCTGAACTAGTTGCCAGCCAATTGCAAGGCACATACATACGAACAACCATCCGCGCTTACACCTAGGGACAATTTCGAGTGTTCCATTAACCTGCCATGCATGTTTTTGGAATGTGCGAGGAAACCAGAGTACCCGGAGAAAACCCACGCAGGCCGGGGAGAACATGCAAACTCCACACAGGGAGGCCTGAGCTGGAATCGAACCCGGTACCGCCGCACTGTGATGTTGACGCGCTAACCACTGGCCCACTGGGCTGCCCGAATAATTCATTTTAAAAGAAAATTTGAAGCAACGGGCAATTACCAAACTTTTTGATGGCTTCATTTACTTGTCAATTGTTGTACACAGCAGGGCTGCGTCCTTTTTCCCCCTACAAATGGCGGGGGAACACAATCTCCTTTTGGCTTCCTACAAACAGCAGTTCTGAGAGTCCACCGAAAATGACTTCAACAATATTCTAGTGTGGTATTTCACGGGTCATGTTCCGGGGTTGCTCAGCGGTCGTCTGCACTCAGTAGGTACAGCCAGAGAATCACCCTCGCCATCCCCAACCTCGGCAACACCAGCCAGCAGGAGTACAAGGTCTCCTCTGTGCCCAACACCTCGCTCAACTACGCCAAGGTCATCAAAGAACAAGGGTAATATTTGCTCTCCAAACATGAATCAGCACCGCTTCCGGGCTCACTGTTAGTTGCTGAACAAGTGTCCCCTAATGTGTGTGTGTGCGCAAGCACCTGTTTCCACCTGAGCGCGTGCCAACATGATTTTTTTTTTTTTTTTAAGTTTACACAGAGCGTCAGCCTCCTCTCTGATTAACTTCCATAAGGGCAACGTGACAAACTGTCGCGTGAGTCGCAAAGAGTTGCCCGGCTGTGCCAGAGGGCGCCACGCACACATTACACGCACATGGATTGAGCGCCGTTAATACCTCCTGCCGGCTGTGCGGTTTATAAAGCAGGGGCGAGGCACAGTATTCTTTCTCTCTGTGAACTGACCGTGACTAATGGGACAGCGGAATTTGTTACACTTCGCTTGCAGCCGAAATGTAACGACAGTACCGTTGAGCTCAACTTCTGTCGGTGACTTCCTAAAAAGCAAATCTTTATCTGCTGCGATGATACGAATGTCTACGGCAATCCCACTCCACCGCAGGGCCGAATTCTTCGACAAAGACGGCGTGATGAAGGATATCCGAACCATATATCAGGTGTACAGCGCGCTGCAAGATAAAGTGCAGGTCTGTCAGACTCCCAGAGTGCGCGCAATAATCTTTTTACGATATTTTCTCATCTGATTTCTCCTCCCGTCATCTAATTTTCAGGCCGTGTGCGGGGAGGTCGAACAAAGTGAACGCACGAAGGAGAAAATTCAAGACAATGTGAACAAGCTGAAAGAACAAATTGCACTCAGGAAACGCAAAACGGCAGAAGAGGAGCGGAGTAAGTATTTATTTGAGAAACGATATATTTGAGCAGCACGGCCTCACGAGCTAGCGGTTGGTTTGAATTCCGGCTCAGGTCTTCGTGTGTGCAGTGTGCTTGTTTTCCCCGTGCTTTTCATTTCCATGAAGAGTGGAAGAAATGTGAGCGACAAGCATGCGCATCTGAGAGTCGGAAACAGTCGCAATGTGGTACGACATTTCACCAAACTCCACAGCGACATCTCCCGGGATCTTCCTCGCAGGAAGCGACCACATTAAGATCATAAACGAGCTGAAAAGTGCTCTCCAAAAAAAACAACAGTGGGCTAGTGCTTCATTGAAAGTTGCCCCTGACAAAATGCACTTCACTGGTGGCAGAATGCTTAGAGAGATGCGACCGCAGAGGCGAAGAGTCGTAATTCCGCGACCATAAAAAGAAGACTGGACAACTTAACTGTGCGACTCAGCCTTTCCCGACATAAATGTCATCAAATATAAGTTCAGAACCAGACAGACGGATGAGCATTTCTGGCTCTTCATAAGGCAGCATGGATGTCCTT